TAAACATCCATTTTTAAGAAAGTTACAGCAACTGGAGTTCTGCTATATAAAAGACTCTAACTAACTTACACATGTGAAATACAAACTTTTAGTCCTCTATAACACTCTAGAAATTGGTAACATATACATGTAAGTTTACCTTGTGTTCCTTATTATCCATCCGTGATTTTAAACAACAATCAATAGTTGAATCTGTTTAAGAAAACAGAAACAAAAACTGAGAAACTAGGTTACTTCATCAATTCAATACCAAATAATATCTAAAAATAATTTTAATGAACTAAGCATTTTTATCTTGAAAAAGAACAGAAGCACTTTTTTTTTTATAAGAAAGATTTTTGCTATAGGGCACATGTGCTCACCAGAGAGACAGAGAGAGACAGTGAGACAGAAAGCAAGAATAGTCCCCCAGTGGAGATGGCCATGCCGCAATCCTTTCTCTTCCGTTCTCCTCTCGGAATTTGAGGCACACATGCACATGAATCCAGCATGAGATTTAATCTGCCAGTTCTGGGACGTGAACTGCAGTCGACTATGTGGGAGCCCAATGACATAACCATTATGCCATCTGCTGGTCCCAAACAGAAGCACTTTTAAATAATAATATAGTAACTCATCACTGGTCAATTAAACTTTGAAAAATATTAGGGTAGGAAATATAAAAAGATTATAAATCTCAAAACAACTTGAATATGAATTTAACAAGATTTTGAAGTTAACTTCTGCTTTGTAGGGTATCTGAAGAAGAGAGAAACACGAGACAACACTTTCAGTAAGCAAACGACAAAACAGAGAGTGGGACACACTGATCTGGCTCAATCTAACAGGGCACAGACAAGAGAGATACCACAAACATGCCCGAACATAAAGTAACCTTTCTCAGACCCAATTCAAGCAAACCAATAGAGATTGCCATGCCAAATGATAAGAATTAAGTTTGTGAGCTGTATTAAGAGTATTGTGGGGACCAGCAGTTAGCGTAATGGCTATGTCGCTAGACTCCCACGTAGTCGACCGCAGTTCGCGTCCCGGACCCAGTGGCTTGAAACTCACGCCAGGCACAGGGGGCATGTGCGGGCATGCCCAATATCCCGAGAGGAGAACGGAGGAAAAGGGATTGTGGCATGTCCATCCTCCCAGGCGAGGGTGGTGGGGGGGTGGTGATTTCTCACTTTCTGTCTCTCTGTCTCTCTCTGTCTGGCGAGCGCACATGCACTATAGCAAAAACTTCTCAAAAAAAAAAAAGAGTATTGTGGTTATGTAAAAAATGCCCTCCTTTTTGCCATAGGGCACGTGTACTCAATGGAGAGAGAGAAAGAGGGAAAGTGAGAAATCACCACCCCCCCACCACCCTCGCCTGGGAGGATGGACATGCTGTAATCCCTTCTCTTCCATTCTTCTCTTGGGATTTTCGACAAGTGTGCCCATATGCCCAGTGTGTTTCTCAGGCCACCAGGTTCAAGACTTAAACCATGGTCAGCCATGTAGGACCCAATTCCTTAACCATTGTGCCACTGTTGACCTGAAATATACTTAGTTTTAGAGATGCATATTAAAATATATAGGAATAAGATTACACCTAGTATTTTAAAATATAAGAAAAAAAGGCAATCTTAAAAAAAAGATGAAGCGGGAACCAGCAGTTAGCGTAATGGCTATGTCGCTGGACTCCCACGTAGTCGACCACGGTTCGCGTCCCGGACCCAGTGGCTTAAAACTCCCGCCAGGCGCGTGTGCGTGCATACCCAAGATCCCGAGAGGAGAATGGAGGAGAAGGGATTGCGGCATGACCATCCCCCCTGGGGGGTGATTTCTCGCTTTCTGTCTCTAATGTCTCTCTCTGTCTGTCTGGCGAGCGCACGCGCCCTACAGTGAAAATCTCTCTCAAAAAAAAAAGATGAAGCCAGTACAACAAAATTTTATGCTAATCAAAACTAAGGGATCGATACAATATATGGAGTGTTTTGTTTTTTAGGTTTTTGCCATAGGGCATGTACACTTGCCAAAAAAGGACAAAGAGAGAGAGAGAAGGAAAGTAAGAAATCACACCCCAGGATAGATGACCACGCTGCAATCCCTTCTCCATTCTCCTCCTAGGATTTTGGACACCTGCACCTGGCCTGATTTTCATGCTGCTGGGTCCAGGACTCGAATCGTGGTTGGCCATGTGTGAGTCCAGCATCTTAACCACCACACCATCTGCTAGAACCCAGTAGGCAGAGAATTTAAAAATATATAGTTCACATACCATAAAACGCACCCTTTTAAATCATAATTCACTGGGGTTTTTGTGGGCTTTTTTGCATATTCACAAAGCTGTACAATCATCAGTGTTTAGTCTACAATACTTCCATCATTCCAAAAAGAAACACTACAGCCATTAGCATCATTCCCATTCCCTCCTCTAATATCTGACAACCATTTATCCACTTTCTGTCTCTATAGATTTGCCAACAAATAAATGGAATCACATATTTTCTGATCTTTTTTGTCTGTTTTCTTTCACCTCATGTGTTTTAGAGGTTCATATATTATAACAAATATCAATACCGACTCTTTTTTTTTTTGGAGAGGTTTTTGCTATAGGGGCCCTGCACTCGACAGAAAGACTGACAGAGACAGAGACAGGCTCCTTATCATTTTTTCCCCCAAGGTTTGTGCCACAGGGCATGTTCTCCAGTGAGAAGAAAGAGGAAAGAAAGAAGCAGTGAGAGGGAAAACACCCCCCGGAGGGATGGCCATGCTACAATCCCTTTTCCTCTATTCCTCCTACTGGAATTTCAGGCACACGCACATACATGCCCAGCGTGATTTTCAAGCCACAGGTCCAGGATTCAAAAGGTGGTCAGCCACGTGGGAGTCCAGCACCTTAACCACTATGCCACCTGCTGGCCCCTAGGCTCCTTATCTTAACGGTTCATTGTAGCCATCTGATAACATGGTTTCAAAGGACAAGAGATTTTGGCTTAACTCAAGGCAGTAAAGAGGAGATCAGTTAAGAGAATTGTTCCTATAAAAGTATTAGTAGGTATATGCAAAATCAAAATATTTTCAGTTAACGATATGATGACATAAGACACATATCATTGTAAAGTAGGGAAAATGAAAAAAGAAATTAAAATACAGTGATACACTGCAGAACATCATTTCAGTCAATGATGGACTGCACATACTACAGGGGTCCCTAAGACTGTAACAGGTTATACCATACCATAGAGCTTATTTTCGTAGTAGGCTATCACACCATTAACACACTTCTCAGAACATATTCCTGTCATTAAGCAGTGCCTGGTTGTACATATACTAAGGAATAATTTTTAATAGTTCAGTACCTTGTACTTGTTCCATTGGTGAAACCCTATCAAAAAGATCGCAGCCCTGAAAGGGTTTTGTAGTTTTAGCTTGCTCCACTTCTGTTCTTGCTATATCACTTTGAAAAGCTGACTGTTTCATGAATGCATTTGATAAATGTTGACTTTCCAAATAGTTGTTTTTCCTAGAAATAGAACTTTTATTATGAAACAGAATAATGTTAGTTCCCTTGGACAAATCTATAAAGTATCTATTTATTAATCTGTGATAAAATTTTGTCTCTCAAAAAGAAAAAAATTAGGACACAGTGAAATGAAACATATATATATATATAAAATGGTTTTTTTTGGGGGGGGGATATGTTTTTGGTATAGGGCATGTGTGCTTGCCCGAAAGACAGAGACAGACAGAGAGCCAGAAAGCGAGAAATCATCCCCCAGGAGGGATGGTCACACTACAATCCCTTCTCCATTCTCCTCTCAGGATCTTGGGCACACACACACATGCCCAGCATGAGTTTAAGCCACCGTGTCCGGGACTTGAACAGTGGTCGATTACATGGGAGTCAAGCAGCATAGCCATTACGCCAATTGCTGGTCCCGAGGGTAGGGTATTCTAAAGTAAGTACTGTTAAAAGAAAAACTACTTCTTCAAAACTATAGCTACCCCTTGGTTTTTATTAGCCCATAAATTTTTTTTTAAAGAAGTCATAAACTTAAGGGCCAGCAGGTGGTGTGGTGGTTAGGAGCTCTGGACTCCCACATGGTCAACCACAGTTCAAGTCCTGGACCTGGCAGCTTGCTTTCTCACTTTCCCTCACTCTCTCTCTTGCTCTCTCACTCTATCCCTCTCAGATCAAATTTAAAAATAAGTAAATAAATAAAGTTAAATAAAATAATTATTAAAAAAAAAAAAGAAGTCATAAACTTCAAGTTAAAGTAGCAAGAGGGACTTCCTGGAGTCCTTTAAAATGTAGTACAGATATCCATAAAGGTGCAACAGCCTGGATGAGCACCATCAGGCCTAACCCATGCTTACCCCAGATTCTATTCAGTTGTCGGAAAAATCATGACTTGTTTTTGCATAGAAAAAAAATATGTCTTGACTTTTCCAACAACCATTGGGTTGCTGGAAAATCTGAAATGTGGATGAAGTATGCAGGAAAAAAAAAGCTGTAATCCAGAGCAAGAACAGAAAGGCCCAGAAGCAGAGAAGGAAATACATCTGCCAGGAAGAACCACAGAAATGTCAATGATTAGTCTTTTTTTTACTTAAGAGAGATTTTACTCTTCCGGTTCGGCAGCTGCTGAAATCGAAAATGCTTTGCTCTGGATGCAGCAGTCAGATTGATTTATGTTCACCTGCGCAGATCACCAGCTCACCTAAGTAGGAAGCCAAGTCACCGGTAAAACATGAACAGGAGAGTTGATTATGTGGTCACCAAGGAAGAGATCAATCTTACCATTACCCTCGGGTCAATGGCCAAGACCTAAAGAACCTGCTGCACCAGGATGCTGTCGACCTCTTTCATAAAGCAAGCTATGGTGTCCCTGAGAGTGCAGCACAGGTTACGGGTGCAGAATGGACCTACAGGACATCGAGGAGAAGGGAGCCACATGGTATTCCCACAGCAGTGGTATTGGTGCCACTCACCACTGTGTGCCCTCACCATGGTGGCAGCCTGGGCCTTCATGAGATGCCGGCAGTAACACTGAAAAGCTTGCTTGTTTCTAGTCCAATGAAGACACATTTCTCCCACCCTCTTCCCCTACCATTCTCCCATATCATTCCCTCTCTTTATTCATATCCAACATCTGATTTAAAGTGACTGATTCCTGTCCAGAACCCTGCTGTTTGGATCACTAATCTTCATATTCTAATGGGAGAGTAAAGGTATTGTTTGAAGGAAAACTGAAGAAAAGATTTACTGAGAACAAATAAGGAATTATCTATTTTACCAAGGCTGCTACTAGAAATTCAGCTAGCACCCAAAGAGAGAAAGGCCCAGTGTTCCTGTCACCGTGGATGACACATTTTTTCCCCTTAACTGACATGCCTTAAAAGCCAGCTGTGTTACATGGGAGGAGGAGAGGATTTTTTCTTTTTGATAATCTTCCTTGAGAAGTTTTTGTGGCCTTTATTTAATTTGTAACTATATACCTGGGTGCCTATGTCAGACAAAGGAGAAGAAGAAGAACATTTTTAGTTTTTTTAAAAAAGGAAACACACACATATGTATCTATGGAGTATAAGAGTGATGCCTAATGGAAAATTAAAGAGATGAGAAAGTTAGGGGAAAAAAGAAAGAGAGAGAGAGAGAGAGGTGCTCCTTCTTCCTCATTTGAAGCCAAGTGGGACTGATTTCCTGAGGCCCTTTACAATTGATTTTAACATCTACCACAAACCAGGGCCCTCACTGCTGGCACTCAAAGCCCCAGAAGACAGCATGCTTCTCTCTTCCCCAACAACAAACAAAACCCTTCTATGGTGCCTTCCAGAATTTACAGTCCTGGGTCAGCAAGATCTGCTAATCTAGACCTCTTTGAACATTCCTTTCACTTCACTGCTTGAATAAAGGTCTGAATATTTTGTAAAGACATGTTTTCCCCTAAGCTCTGCCAAATGTGGACTCTTATCTTTCCAACAGCCTTGGTATCTCTGGGTGTGGAGATGGAATACACATGCCCTCCTTGTCCCTCAGCACCACTTCCA